TCCCCTCCCTCCCTCCTTCCCTCCCTCCTTCCCTCCCTCCTACCTCTATTCCTCTTTCCATCGAATCCATCCTCTCCTCCCGCCCGCCTTTTTCCCCATATCTCAGTCGGGATCCGTACGAGATCTACCTGTCTACCCAAAAACTGCACGAGAAGCTCCTGATTCAGTGGTGCCTGCAAAGACCACCGTATGAAGTATGTAGCTTCCCTCCCTCCCTCCCTCCCTCCTTTCCTCCCTTCCTCCTTTCCTCCCTTCCTCCTTTCCTCCCTCCCTCCCATTCCCCCATCGTTCTTTAGAGCCGCCCTTCGATTCTTTTTCTCCCTCAGGATCCTTCTCCTCTTCCTCTTTTTCGCTCTTACTCTATCGACTCTTGTCTCCGTCTTCCTTCACCTCCGCTCCCCCTTCTTTCTCTCTTCCTCCCTCCTTTCCTCCCTCCCACTCACCTTTGACAGGACAAGAATTGGATTAAAGGCAACATTATATCTCATTTTCGACGCATGTACGATGCGTACTTCCAGGTCGGTCTCAGTCCCTTTCTTTCGCTTTTTCTTGCACGTTTTCCCCGGCGACTCCTCATGGCATCCCTTCTCTTTCTCCACCCTTCCCTTCCTTTCCTTTCCCCCTTCCTCCCTTCCCTTTTCAGGATGTAAAGCTTCTAGGGCCAGACGAGCTCATCGACATTCGCTACACCGATCTCCTCGCCAACCCCATGGAGACTTTGAGGAGCATTTATGAGAAGTTCCATATTGACCGGTACGCCTGCTTTATCTCCCGCTCGTTTTGTTTTCTCCATTTTCTTCTTTCTACCTGTGTTCCTTCCTCTTCGCTCGCGCGACCAGCATCATGGTCTTCATCTCACACTTTTCCAATTCATCTCTTCTGTTCTTTTTACCCCATACCCTTCCCATAAGCTTCGATGAGAACATGCGCCCCGCAATTCTTGCTTATCAGGAGGCTCAGAAAGAATTCAAGGTCAATCAGCACCAGAAGCTGAGTGAGGAAGAGAGGGCAGTCGTAGCAGACGTATGGGCAGACTACTTCGCTTATTACAAATACAACCCATGATCCGGCCTGTCCTGCCTCCGTCCTTGCTTTCTTGTCTCCTTTCTTCTTTTCTCTCTCTCTACACGGGGCCGACGACGTGGACAGAAGTAGGAGAGAGTGCCCTGAAGTCCTTTTTACCCACCTTCTTTCCAGGTTGATTTCTCCTCTTTTCTTGTCCTTTGTTGGTACTTGTGCGTCGTTGGCTGACTCGATTGCTGGTAGTATTTTGACGCGAGGGAATATGCGAGGAACGTGTTTCGAAGGCGAGAGGCTAGGCTGAGAAGGACAGGGGGCTATAAATGAAGAAGGCGAGAATACAAGGCGGACCTGCCACGACGAGGGAAACGGTGTCCGCGAAAGACCAGAAACGGAAAAGGGAAAAAAAATAGAAGAGAAAAACGAGCGTAAGATGAAGGAAGCAGGGAAGAACCCGGTGAAGAATCGGTGCATTGTAAGAAGGAGAGTTACAATGAAGGTTGAAATTGGACAGCGAATTGAAGTAAGACTGTCAAAAATAGCAGAACGCAAGGAAAAGGCTGAAAGAAGGACAAAGAAAGAACTGTGTGTTGATACATTGTTCATAATATTGAGGTGAAGTATTGACAGTGTGGGCTGTGAGAATGGTCGGACGACGGGTGTGAGAGAGAGAGACACAAGTGCTACCGGTTTGATGGTCAAATGATAGAAAAAATTGACTGCAAGGTAGTAAGGAAAGGGTGGACACACATTACACACATTTTATCATCAATAATTCTGCGCATAAGTACCGAGGATTTGAAAGGCTAGAGGGAAGGTGAGAGGGCAGAAAAAGGTCCAGGGGTAGATACTGACGCAAAACTAAGACAAGTGACGTAAATCTGCCACGAGAATTGTCTCGAATAAAAATCCAGAGAAAGAATTTCGTTCATTCGTCAAACCTATGCGGATTTGTTCAGCAGAGCAATTTAAAAGAGCGACAGTGATGAGGAATGTAAGGTTGCTGCTTATTGTTTCCTACATGACAAAAATCGAGCAAAAATAACAAAAAGAAATAAGTCATTTACTGGAACGGACTTCACTTGTACAGTGCCTATACTTCTCGTGAAGCATAGAAGAATGACGTTTTCATCCACAGAATGCAATCGTTTTCGCTAAATATAGCACATTTTGAAATAGGTTATAGAAAGTTCCACACAGGATGCCCAGAAATGGTATTTCAACAAATAATTGGGCACAAATTATTGAGCTTTTTCAGTCTCTACAAATCAAAGGTTGGCCGTTGAGATGCATGAAAAGGAAATAGACCAATGGTCTATTATTTCCTTGAAGCAGGCAAACATATTGTCAAGTGCTTCCATATACTCTCTGAATTTATATAGCACGTAAATAGCCTCTTTAGCGTTTTTGTGTGGCTTGATGCCGACATGATGTATCTGCCTTGGACATAATCGACTCCAATCCCTTACTTGAGCGACATCAGCAGGCTATGACTGCGAGCTCGACTTATAGAGTGGAGAAGAGAAATATATACTAATGCAAAGCAGCAAACTATAGGCCATTTCTGGCCCCTGATGGAGATCATATTTCGCATCGATATGCGGCTGTCATGAATATATTCATTCATGTTTGGGCCCTGCCGAGAAACTCAGCTTCGCTGAAATATGCGCGCAGTGGATGAATGTGCGATGAGCCGTTACAGAAAGACACCCCCAAAAAAGATATGTGAATATTCGTCCTCATTTACCACGGTGTATCTGATTGTTAAAATGTCTGACTTAATTTAATTGTGGCCTCTCGTTTATTTAATAATCAAGACAGAAGGGTAGGAGAGAATGCGGTGTTGTGTTTTGTTTCAATGAGGTTCTTTATCCTAACTCCCCCCAGAGCTGTCCGCACGCGGTGCACGAGCCCGTTTTTTTTTTTTAAATCAAGAAGGTAGGGAAATAAAATGATTTCTTCACGTCTAAAACTATACACATCAGTCAAACTCTCCAAAAATCTCATTATGTTCAGGGAAAATGTGAGGTTACAAACTAGCTTATCTTCACAACCGAACGAGGAAAAATGCGTTTGACCTCGCACATCCCCGTTTTTTCCTAGTGAAGAACGATCCTAAATTGCGAACCCAAAAATGATTAAACCTTCATTATTGTCTATCTAATATGGACGTATTCAGATTTAAATCATTTTAATCGATCCTTTTCGCGTTTACACTATTCAGATGTTTCGATGTTTGAATAAATTGTTTCCGAAATTCCTCCGATTCTTCGAATCTTTCCCTACAAAGAAGATTTGCTGAATATTCAAGAAACTTGGCAAAGAGGATGTCGCGACCAGAATGATTAGGAATTTACAACCATTTGAAAGAGTGATTATAGTGCTGGTGAAAAAAATGAACAACAAATGTAAGCAACAAAAATGTATTATTTCTAGACGTCAATTAGGGATAATGACTGATTGTTATCTTATGTATTTTAGTGAATATGCAGAGCGTAGGGTAAGATTCTATTTGGAACTCAAGCATGGATATTCTCCCGTCCTCTCTACTGAGATAAAAAGTATCACTGTCGAGATATGTTTGTTTACATTCTAGGGGACAGGTTTTAATCTTCTCTGTACCAATTACTTTTAATCTAGTGTATATAAATCTCAAAAAGCGTTGTGATAATCAATGTGATGATAAATATTTAATTTGTCCTTTGGCTCTATTGCCAATAGGCCATGGTCTAAGGTCTACCAGGCCGAGCACGAGTCCTACAATACTACCCTCTGAAAGGTCTTTTAATCCCTTCCGCTGGAAGTCTGCGACATATCCTCAGAACTTGTTCCCTCAAGATGATATATCACAATTAAATCACAAGTTCTGAAGCTCCTATTTTGCTATTCCTATATGAGCCTTTCATTGACAGTGCCTCATAGAAACGAGAATATGTGGTCATCGCTTGCGGCTGTTGGATGTTTCAAGGACTCAGCAGTTTATATGATCTACACATGTATGGGGATATTGCCATCACATCAATACTCATCATACACAAGGCGTAATTTAAATCCTTTTCATGAAAAATTTCGACCCTTAAAAAACTTCTAGCCGCTACAATCCTGATTGCTTTTATGAATATATACTCCGTCGTAGATCACTGAGCCACAATTTATCTCGTCCTTATGCCACACACCCAGAAAAACAGGTATTTGATCATGCATCTCCCGTTCAGCTACTGCTTGTTCTTCGTGATGGGAGTCTGTACCATCCTGAGTACAGCTTCCCAAGAATGTCCACGCCTTACATTGAAAGCCAAGACTCGTCCGAATGCCAGACGTGGGATCTTGGCCGGATCAGGAAATGTCAAGGTCTCTGTCACACTTCGTGCCAAGGACCCTGTGAATGGTCTAGAATTCAAGCTGCTGCTGCCCAGGGGGATGACTGCGAAACGCACAGCGACTCGTCCGCACCTAAAGCCATCTGCCACGCCCGAGATCGTCAAGAATCTCGATGGAACGACAGCGCTATATTGGTTGCAAGTTGACCTGAATAGGCCAAGGAAGCGCCGCTTTATAGTCAAAGTTCAGGTTGATAAGTGCGCTCCCGAGAATCTAGCCATAAATGCGACCGCTTATCTTGTGAATGCAACAAGTATCTCCTGTACGACACACCTACCAAGCCCGGCAATCGTTCGTGTGCGGTATGCAAAACTCAAGCGATCAGCCACTTGCGCTCCGACACCCGCTCCCTCTGTCAACCCTGCGGAGCCGTTTGTCTATTTGCGCAAGGACAGAGGTTCTCGCAAAATGACCGACTAGCGCCATTCGACAATCGTGAACACTCCCTGAACTCACGACTGGCCAGCGAAGAGGTAATCACCCCTTCGTTCGATGCCGCGCATCGTGAGCTCCAATCTATCAGCACGCCGGAAGATTGCTTTCGATACTGCTCACTGAACGGGGCTCAAAATGTGCCATTCTTGTTTAATTGGAACAATGGAGCCGAGGAGTGCTATTGTTGTTTGGGTGTATGTGCTCCTTTTGTGTTCGATCCTGCATTCGACGTATACGAAGTGGTTGTTCCCGTCGAGCCTACTGTGACTCCCACCATGACACCTGCTGCCCGGCCTACCGCCGAGCCTACTGCGACTCCTACCATGACTCCCACAGCCCAGCCTACTGCAGGTCCCACTATGACACCTACCACCGAGCCTACGGCAGGTCCTACCATGACTCCCACAGCCCAGCCTACCGCGACTCCCACCATGACACCTACCACCGAGCCTACTGCAGCTCCTACTATGACTCCCACAGCCCAGCCTACCGCGACTCCCACCATGACACCTACCACCGAGCCTACTGCAGCTCCTACTATGACTCCTACAGCCCAGCCTACTGCGGCTCCCACCAAGACACCTACTGCTAAGCCTACTGCGGCTGCCACCGAGACTCCAACGGCACTAAGTAGTGTAGCTCCTTCAGTAATGCAAACTCCTACGCCAACCACAAATTCGACTGAAACCACTTTTTTGCCTGGGACTCCGCCAGCAAGTGGCTCCAGGATCCTTTTTGGTGCTAGATTACCAGAGCGTTATTGTGGTCTAGCTGGCAGCTCGATTCGGTGTCCTCCTCCTCCAGACGTTATTGCGACAGAGTTCCTATTCAACGAAGAGGGACTCAACATGTACTTAATCATTAACTCGGCTGGGGAAATTTGCAGCTACGCTATGCCTACACTCCGTGTTTCATGTGGTGGCTCCAGTGTCGGCGAGGTCAGATTTGAATGGATAGATATGGGCGCTTATTTCTTCCTCAAAACCCCTGATGGAAAATATTGCCGTTCCTCAGTGGATTCTCCCGGAGGTCCGCTTGTATGTGATGGGACAAGCAGAGATTCGGACGCGGAATTTATAGTCCTGGGAAGGTACTAGTCTTTTCGAAGATTAATCTCTTTCATAATTAGTGACACTGAAATGGATAACATAGCGTCGTCTCATCTCTAAGGTACTGGGGTATTTCTAGAGGTCCGGAATGCTTCATTTAATTGTGCGATGATTATGGTTTGGGAATTTTTCTGAGTGCATCGTGTTGCAACTGGTGGCCTCCCCGTCATTTGCTCGTTGAGGTTGCAAAAAATAGTAAGATTTGGAAAAGGAAACGTTACTCATTAAGAAAATAGACAATATTCATGAATTTAAGAAAAGTATATCATGTGAGGTAGGATTGATTCACAAGAGACATACGCATGTTACACATGCTGTGAGCACATAGACATTACCAGGACATGGAATTACCTACACACGAAA